GAGTGTGGAGCGGACAAGGGAGTCACGGAGAGAGTGGTCCCTCTGGAAAGCAGATAAGGGTGGGGAGGGAAAAACGTCTTTGGTAGTTTTTCTGGCTGGCGGTCAGTGGCTAGTGGTGTGCCTCAGGGATCAGTGTTGGGACCTCAATTGTTTACAATTTACACAGACGATTTGGAGTTGGTGACTAAGTGTGGTGTGTCAAAATTTGCGGATGACACTATGGTGAGTGGTACAGCAAAGTGTGCAGAAGACTCTGAAAGTCTGCAGAGGGACATAGATAGTCTAAGTGAATGGGCAAAGGTCTGGCAGATGGAGTACAATGTTGATAAGTGTGAGGTCATCCATTTTGGTAGGAATAACAGGAAAATGGACTATGTTTTAAATGGTAAAAAATTGCAGCACACTGCTGTGCAGAGGGACTTGGGTGTCCTTGTGCATGAATCGCTGAAGGTGGGATTGCAGGTACAGCAGGTGATTAAAAAGGCAAATGGAATTTTGTCTGCCATTGCTCGAGGGATGGAGTTTAAAAACAGGGAGGCTATGCTGCAGCTGTATAGAGTCCTGGTGAGGCCACACCTGGAGTACGGTGTGCAGTTTTGGTCTCCTTACTTGAGAAGGGATATACTAGCACTGGAGGGGGTGCAGAGGAGATTCACTCGGTTGATTCCAGAGTTGAGAGGGTTAGATTATGAGGAGAGACTGAGTAGACTGGGCTTATACTCATTGGAATTCAGAAGAATGAGGGGAGATCTTATAGAAACATATAAGATTATGAAGGGAATAGATAAAGTGGAGGCAGGGAGGTTGTTTCCGCTAGCAGGTGAAACTAGGACTAGAGGGCATCGCCTCAAAACAAAGGGAAGCAGATGTAGGACTGAGGTCAGGAGGAACTTCTTCACCCAAAGGGTTGTGAATCTGTGGAATTCCCTGCCCAGTGAAGCGGTTGAAGCTACCTCGCTGAATGTTTTTAAGGCAAAGCTAGATAAATTTTTGACCAGTAAAGGAATTAAGGGTTATGGTGAGTGGGCGGGTAAGTGGAGCTGAGTCTCAAAGATCAGCCATGATCTTATTAAATGGCGGGGCAGGCTCGAGGGGCCAGATGGCCTACTCCTGCTCCTAGTTCTTATGTTCTTATGACGCCACAGGCAAACCGGAGGAACAACACCTCATATTCCGCCTCGGCAGCTTACAGCCCGATGGCCTTAACATAGAATTCACCAGTTTTAAAATCTCCCCACACCCGGCCTCATCCCACATCCAAACGTCCCTTTCATCCCTGCCTCCATGACCTGACACTACCTGTCCATCTTCTCTCCCACCTATCCGCCCCACCCTTCCCACTGACCAATCCCCACTGCTCCTACCTGCACTCACCTATCACCATCCCACCTACCTTCCCCAGCCCCACCCCTCTTCCCTCTATTTATTTCCCAGCTCCCTTCCTCCTCCCCCATTTCTGAAGAAGGGTTCAACCCGAAACGTAGACTTGCCCACTCCTCTGATGCTGCCTGGCCTGCTGTGCTCCTCCAGCTCCACACTGTGTTGTCTCTGACTGCAGCATCTGCAGTTCTTGCTGTCTCAAACTGTTTAACCGACTGTCTTTACTGCATATCAGGCCCATTGCTCTATCTTGTATCAAGAACCCTGGAAGACAACATTTTTTGTTTGTGCTTGATGCTAATTTTCCTGGATCCTCCTCCCAGGGGGTGAGAAAAACAGACTGAAGCATTTAAATTACATGCAAATGAAAAGGAGAGTAATGAGACAACAAAGTGCAGGGCTGGATGAACACAGCAGGCCAAGCAGCATCATAGGAGCAGAGAGGCTGACGTTTCGGGCCTAGACCCTTCATCAGAAAAGGGGGAGGGGAGGGGGGTTCTGAAATAAATAGGGAGAGAGTCGGAGGCGGATAGAAGATGGATAGAGGAGAGGATAGGTAGAGAGGAAACAAACAGGTCGAAGAGACGGGGATGGAGCCAGTAAAGGTGAGTGTAGTTGGGGAGTTAGGGAGGAGATAGGTCAGTCCAGGGAGGACGGACAGGTCAAGGGGGCGGGATGAGGTTGGTCGGTAGGAGATGGAGGTGCGGCTTGAGGTGGGAGGAGGGGATAGGTGGGAGGAAGAACAGGTTAGGGAGGCAGGGA